TTTTAAAGTTTGGCTCCCCTGAGTCCCTTTTCCGTACATTTAGATACATGACCATCCTCTGTAGCACCAGGTGTGTTGGTGCAGTATTTCTCAAAGGAGTGCTCCATTACTCAGTCTGGCATTTCCTCCCAAGCCACCCATTCTGTAAATTTGGTGGCTGGCACTTTCCTATTGGACTAAGCTCATAGTTTCATTTTTTTCTTTAATTGGACCATATGTCCCCTTGAACTTAAGCACCTTCTGTTGAAAATCAGCAGGTAGTTTCCGTCAAATTCATGCTTGCCACCTTAAAAATGAGCCACACGACAAACAAACCAATCACAATAGCCTCTCATTTGAAATGTGTAAAATTTATTCTAAGACGTGGCCATCCTCTTGCCTTCCATTGCATGGGCCGGTATGTGAACAACACAGGCAGGGCCAACAATGCCGAAAACCACTATGATGACTCCATTAGAAAAGCCAGGGGCGAGTTCCCACCTGCTCTGGCCAGGCCAGCTACATTGCATCTGCGCCCACATGGCAAAGACTGTAAGATGCATTCAGAATGCAGGGATGATGAAATATTCAAAAGTGAGACCCTGCAATCAATGAAATGTGGTGCTGTTTTTTCCATTGCTCCTTCTAGCCTTGTCCCTTTTACAGTTCTACTTTAACTCAAAACTGTCAGAAAGGGTGTAGCAATAGAGCAATATGACTGTGCTGCCCAGGATTCCAAGAAGAAACCTTCAGTGGTTTTGTTCCAACCAGCATCCCTCCCAAGAGTTGCTCCTGAATAAGGCGGGTCCACCTGGTCTGTGTCGGCCAAAGGCAAACACCTGAAGCTGCAGGACACAGAACCGACCTTGACTGTGCTCCTCCCAATGCCTGGCATCCTCAGGTGAGGGAGAGACAGATGGGTCAGACAGCCACAGGTCATCCTCTGGCTGCATCCTCTGGCCTGTGGAACCACAGGGAAACTCCACTTCCTTCCTTTGAATTTGGGGGTGTGGGTGAGGATGGGCACAAATTTGCAAAAGTAAAGTCCCTTTGAGGGTTCTGTCCAGAAACCTCCGTGCAAAATCTAGTTGCCTGTCTCCAGGTGAGCCTTTTCTTTTTAAACATACGTTTGTTTGCTAGTATGTATTTACTTTCATTTATTTAAATATTGTGTTTTATGGCGCTGGCTATTAACACTCCTTTAACATATTTTACTTGTGTTTGATGTATGTTGATCAATTATTTTCCATCTTTTATTCTGATCCCATTTATGGCCTATTTTTTCCTCATTTTCAAATTGCCCACTTCTTTCCCCCCTTTATTCTGTCTTTAATTTTAATTTTTTATTCTTCTTAGCTTTTAGTTGTCACTAGTGGCCTTACACCGTTTTAACTTGTTTTTTGCTTGTTTTACATTTCACTTGTTTTAGCCTTTTACCTTTTAGTTTAGTAATAATAATAATCCTATCATTACCATACATGGAGGGTCTGTGCTTACATCTATGAGGTAAGCACTATTATTCCCACTTTACGGATTAGGAAATTTAGGCAAAGATGGGACAAAGACCTTATGCAGTGCACACCACAAGAGGGAGTCTGAATCCACAACTTCTGGACTGATAAACTGAACCCCTGTACCACAATATCCCAGACTTGCATGATTTCTGTAACATCTTTTTTTTTTTTTTTTTTTTTAAAAGATGACCGGTAAGGGGATCTTAACCCTTGACTTGGTGTTGTCAGCACCACGCTCACCCAGTGAGCAAACCGGCCGTCCCTATATAGGATCCGAACCTGTGGCCTTGGTGTTATCAGCACCACACTCTCCCGAGTGAGCCACGGGGCCGGCCCAATTTCTGTAACATCTTGACAATTTTGCCACATTTACTTACTACCCAAATATTATTTACTTAGCATTTTTCTCTAGACTCAATTAAAACGACTTTGATAAGTGTATTTTAAACTTGTCATGACCTTAAATGGAAAATCTGCCATAAATGATGGTAAATTGTTTCTTACTAAAATTAAACCTGCTCAGGCCGGCCCGTGGCTCACTCGGTAGAGTGTGGTGCTCATAACACCAAGGCCACGGGTTCGGATCCCATATAGGGATGGCCGGTTTGCTCACTAGCTGAGCGTGGTGCTGACAACACCAAGTCAAGGGTTAAGATCCCCTTACCGGTCATCTTTTAAAAAAATAATAATAATAAAAAAAAATAAAAAAATAAAATTAAACCTGCTCTTTTGTGTACCACCCAGAATCTTCTCTGTGAATCACTGCCCTAAACCATACTGCCTCTGTTTAAACTTATCCCTATTTTAAATATTGTTTATTTACATTTATGCTTTGCATCTATTTTACTGTTGATTTCTCTTTTAAAATATTTTACCAAAAATATATTACCTAAATGATTCCTCATAAAAATGTTTAATTACACAAAAAAAGCATTCTAGAAAACTTAGCAAAAAATATAAACAAGTTGAAATTTTTTTTAATTACCCCAAATCCTACTATTAACTATTTTATCAGCTTGATGTGTGTGTACAGATGTAGAGATAGAGATTATCATTAGCAAATGAAACATACAGTTCTATCACTTATTTTTATATTTTAATGATTTGTCACTTAACACCTTTTCCCTTTCTTATATTCCTTGCCAACAAATATAGAACTATATCATCATCCTAAAGACTGCACAGTATTCCACTTCATGATCAGATCATAACATTCAGCCAACATTTCATTTCTTTCCACTTTCTTGGTGTTACTCTGAGATAAATATTCTTGAACACCTATTTTTATGGACTTGCGCTCATATTTTCATAGGAAAAAATCCTAAAAATGGATTTGCTGACAGTTAATGGGAAATTGTCTGCAAAACAGATTCTACTGTTTTACGTAATTGGTTTTCCCAGCATCTTCCTCCACCTTCCTCTGGCAACAGGGGTGGGCACACGACCTAGGCTGGGTTTTTTTGTTGTTTGCTACCTAAGAGGAATCACGATCGTTAGAAGAAATGGTCAGAATCTTGAATCTCTGATGTCTACCTTCTGCGACTGGGTTGTACGGGTCACTCCAGGCAAATGAAGGCTCTTATTAAGTAGGCCCTCTGCCCAGCAGGGGGGTTATGCTTCAACATTGGTAGTTTTGCGGTTAGAGCTTCCTCAGCAAGAATCCTGAAAAGATAACTTCTGTCCTGACTATACCAGACTCCACGTCCCACTCTCCTCTACCAACTCCTTGCTTTTCACAGCCCAAGTGCCCAGCACCTCTGCCCACCAAACCTCAGTCCTGTGTACCTTGATTCACCTGGCTTTGCCTAACATGCCCAGATGTTAGTAGTGATGCATAGGAAGAGGGGCAGCTCTCTGATCCACAGCTGATCACAGCTGCACTGCCCCCGGTTCCTGGGGGTACCCAAGGAGAGGAGGCTTTCTTCCTTATCAGTGGGTGAACTGGTCACATGTTCACGTGAAGGACTCCTTCTGTTTATTTCAACATAAGGCTGCATGGCTTCCTTGTTTCCTTTCCCCAAACTCTTACTCTGGCTCCTTTATTTCCCTCCTTCCCTACCCCCCCAAAAGGTTTTGTTTTGTTTGTTTGTTTGGTTTTTTTTGCTTGAGCTTTATTGTGCTATAATTTACATAATAAAATTTATCCATTTCAAGCGTATAATTCAATGATTTTTAGCAAATTTAGACTTGCACAACCATCATCACAATTAAATTTGAACATATTTTCATCACCCTATTTGCAGACACTTCTGGTTCCTTTTTGGCAACAGGGATATCTAGGCCATCTTCTCTCACCATCTCCTGGAAGAGATGATCCCAAAAAAGAAGAGCCCAAGGAAAGTTTATTTGCTGCTGCCACCAAAACCCCTTTCTTCCTCCAGACTTGGGCTCGTATCACCGTCTGGGCCTTGATCCACGAGAACACCTTGCCTGGAGACTGCAGTGGGAGGAGATGTTGAAAGTTCACCTAGATCTCACACACAACAGGTCAACTTGACCTTGTACATGAAGGCGCCCGTGTGCATTTCTGTGGGAAGAGAAAACGCTTTGAATAAGACTGCCCAGATTCAAGTTCAAGTGCTGCCATTTATGAGCTACATGGCATCGATAGAACTACCCTCCCACAGCCTCAGTTTCCTCACACGTAAAATGGAAATCAAAATAGTGCTCCCCATGGCATGGTTGTAATAAACAGATCACGTCCACGGGAGGCCTGGGGAGTGCCTGTCACATTCTCAGTGCTTCATACATTTTACCTACTATCCCTAGAATTTGATCAAATTCTCAAAGGGAACTGTCACCATCCCCAACCCCCACCAAAAATTCAGAACTTTCAGCACATAGAGGGTGGAAGCTGTCACCCACGACAGGATACCACAGGAAGCCTCCAGATACCTAGAGCAGGAAGACACAGTGGGCAATCCCAGGGGAGAAAAGTGTCGGAAGAGTCACAAAAGGGGAGACAGAAAAAGAGGCAGTAACAGAGGGTGGGGGGGGGAAGAGCAGGACACAGTCTCTCAGGACCCTAGTAAGTGCCAGGGGTCGGGTTATGGGAGACGAAAGGGTGAGGAAGAAGGGAGGGAGGGACGAAATGAGGAGGAAGCTTCCTGATGAACCTGTGGTCAGTCTTAGTATGCTCTGAGAGCCACACACAGTGCTCAAGACTGGAATAACAGAGATCGAGCCAAAGAGCCATTTGCAAGCCTTGAGTTTAGGGTTTGTCCTGCCTTTTGCTCAACTCTCGCCTTGGCTGGGGTGTCTACCTATGTCACCAAGAGGCACCTGTATCATTTCTGGGGGTCTAGCCAGGGCAGCTGGAGACAACACGAAAAGGCAGCAATGGGAATGGCCCAGTACGGTGGGGCGCCAGCAGCTCGGCTTGCTTTCTTGTTCCAAATGGGAGGAAGCAGATGCTGCCACCTGGAAGCAGAGGACAAGGACTCTGGCATGCCACTGTTAGGCCAGTCAGTCTTCCGACCTCCGCCCACAGTCAGACAAGAGCCATCATTTATAAAAACACAACACACATTGAGTTTTAATGAGAAAATAACTGTATACTTGCATTGAACGCCTCACAATCACTATAAAACCGAAGCAAGCTAATAACATTGAAGTGGTTAACATACACAGGAAAGCCAGATACAGAACATAATTTCCAAACACAGTATATTGCTTTTTTTCCCTCCTCCAAAGAAAAAGAAAAAAAAAAAAAGTCATTTGGATAAGGAGCAACGCAAAATCAAAATTGGCAGTTCACTGAATGCTTAAAATTCAGGAAATTGGTTCTGTAACTAAAACTGGATATATTCACCATCTCTAACACTTAGGCTATTTTTTTTCAATACATAGTTTAATTAAATCCATTCTGTAGTTGGAAAAAATGTTTATTTGTCTTCAGAGACAAGAGTCAACACTGTCTTAGTGTTCCTTGTTACGCTTTATATATGTGTGCGCGTGTGTATATATGTGGACACTGGTCTATAAACTGCTTATATGTCATTGCCTAGGGTGGGCAGCATGCACGATACAAAGAGGCAAGGAAATTGCATTTTGTCATCCAAGTAGAACACAGCCCAGCCTCCTGCCACTGACAGACCCTGTTTCCATAATTTCTGGATGAGAAAGCCAAGGCATGTCAGTAGTTAATCAGCTCCAGAGGAAAGTGAACACCTATAAACACTGCAGAACGGAATACTTTCAGGAAGGCTTTTAACATCTACAGAACCTAAACATTTGTGAAAGCTGAGATTAACAAGCTTGCGTGCTATTTGGGGACAGGGCCAAGCATCAGAGGCAACATTTGTCACAGGCCTCTTTCTCTCCATGGATGAGGCAGGAATGACTTTCCTCCAGGGGTCTGTTCCATCTTCAGAAAGTTAAAGGAGTTCATTTGGGATCCCAGAGCCTAGCACAGTGATGTGTACAAAGCGGTAGTCCAATGTTTCTTGAATGAATAAAAAAACTCAAGAGCACAGAGAAAATCTGGCTCTCCCAAGGGAACTGTAATTTACATTTTAATAGGATTATAATGGGATTATCAGTAAGTGGAGCAAGGAAATAGCAGTCATCTGGAAGGCAGCATAGGGGAACAAGGGCCACAGTTAAAACAGCTGTGTGACTGTGGGAAAGTCACAGAAACTGCATTTCCTTATCTCATTTGGGCATGGAGCGTGGCCCAAAGGACCCCAGCTCTAGAATTCTGTTATTTCTTAAACAGTAAGTGCTTCTGTTTCAATCAGCTGTACTCAAAGGCCACTCTGTCTGCCTCTAAAGGAACTCGATGAATTATGTGGCTTTCTATGCTTTCCTTTCAGCTGCAAATTCTCTCTCAAATGGAGGTATCATGTGGGTATATGGTTTCCTTCAAAACAGAACAAAATACTTAAGGTAAATCGTACAGATGATTTCCTCTTGGGAAAAATGGTGGCGTTAGTCTACATTATGACTCTACTAGACCCATGAGATGGTCCAGAGAACATGAAGCACATTTTACTTGTTGTGTAACCCACAGAACTCTCCCATTCTCCAGCCATCCCACTACCACTGTGCCTGAGGCCACACACTATCTCCTCTGTTCTTGTCCATGTGTCTGCCTTAGGAACACCCCCTGATCGTGGATCCTCAGCCCAGGCAACTGGGACCTCAGGCAAAGATGGTCCTCCTTCCAGGGTCCTCCCAGCTCACCTGTCAGGACTTTTAATCTAGCAAGCATCTCATTTTTCTTGGAATGTTCCTCCACGCCAGGCTTCTCCACCATATAATAAACTCCTTGCAGCAGAGTCTTATTTCTTATTTGTTTTATGTCCCCATGGCTAGCACATTTTATTGAATATCCATTCAGAATATTCAGGAGAATGAACCATATAATGGTGCCAACTGCCCATGTACTATTTGGCTACCACCTGTAGAATTTGGTTCCAATGGACAGGTTCCCTGGGTAGTTTCAAAGGATCCTTGTTAGGTTATGAGACAGTTCCATTTTTACTCTGTGCCCACCACTTCTCTGTGATTAAACTTTCCCCCAAAGTCAACTAGTCTAATAAAAGAAGCAAAGGTAATGTGTATAACTTCTACATACAAACTTTGTGGAATTGCTATTTGTTAGAATAACACACTACAGTTTATGACATAACACTATAAAAACAAAAATGAATTTTAGTGAGGTCTGACTTAATTATTGCTTTTTTTAAAAAAAACATAGTTTTAAAACAAAGAAGAAAAAAAGAAGGCTGGTGGTCAGTTTTTTTCTCACGGTCAGAATTAAAAACATTCTCATCCAGAAATTAAGGGCACTCAATTATTGAATACCCTTATCATATTGCTTTAAATCACAGAAAGAGTAAAGCTGGCATCCTCTATAGAATACTAAGCATGAATACAAAGCATGAGAATAAATAGGATACTCTCCTAAATGTCTAATTACAAAACTGCTCAAAACTTTGCAATTGTGACTCATGCGAATACCATGTTAGGTCAATTTAATATTACAAATACTGCATCAACTCGGTGCCTTTATATCCCTTTTCATAAAAAAGAAATTCTCACTCACTCCTGAAGCTGGCAAACAGCTTTGGAGGAAATAACTATACACTCATGTGCCATGACCATTCTGGAATTTTAATCCTCACACAATACACACCCTTACTCATGAACATACAAACACACACACACACACACACACACAAGCCATCTTTAGGATCTGTAGCTGATTCCAAGCCTGCACTTAAATTTCTATTCTATATTTTTCTCTGTATCATCCTGAAAAACACTGGTTGCTCAGCAAAAATAGTATCTCTTACCTCCTTATTTTCCTATTCTTTCTCCCTCCCCCCCTTTTTCTCTACCTTCATGACTTCTCTTTCGTGTTTCCTTTCTGATGGAACCAAAACAATTTATCAATCTTCCTATTACCTCTAAGGCCCACTTTATAACACAAAATAGTTATAAACACCTTTTTATTTCTGGTCATCTACCTCTCCAAGGCAAAGTTTGCCCTTGTTTTCAATTACTGCCACTCTAAAAATACCCCTACCATCTTGAGCCACAGTTTAATGTGTACAGATTTTATACATATATAGATTCCCCCACCCCATCATAAAAATAGTTGCTGCCCACTAAATATAGTTTTCGTATGAAGAAACATAATTGAGAAAATGTGTTCTCATAAACTGCAGATCAGTAAACAGTATAAGCAGACAAAATCCTAAAGCTAAAATAATCCATTTGGTTTGGCTTCCTCCCCTTTCTCAGCCTCCTAACATAGAATAGATTGTGTTTGTAACATGAAGAAACACGGTCTTAAAAATACGGATTGTGTGTATTGCAATCACTCATTGCTCCCAATTAAAAATAATAAGAGAAATGGAATCATAATTGCCTCTTCTGGGCAAATATGGAGAGAAACGCCATTCATTTTATGGCTGCTGGAGAAAATGGAGTGAACCCAACCCTTCTGATGGGTGAGAAGCCGATGCAGAGAAATATCCTATGCCATGTGCACTTCACCAGCTCGGGCCCTAGTGCTCTCTAAATGGCTCTGTGCCATTGTTGTTCCTGGTCACCCAGCCAGGCTGCTCTCAGTTCTGCCTGTAACCACTATGCTGATTGCATGTAACACCTTAGTCCTTTTGTGATCAATTGCGGGTTGGTCCAAATCCAGACAATTCTTTGAGTTACAAAAAAAAAAAATCCTTTGTCTGTTCCCTCCTGGGTGTGAGAGTTGGATGGGTGGACTTCCTTTTCCCTCGATTGTTCATCATTGTGTATTACAGCTTTTGGTCTACATAAGGATTGCTGAGTTTGTGTGTACTTTAATAAATAGTCCATTAAAATGCTTTGAGTTGTTAATTTCCCAGTTTCTTGGTATCCCAAGCACCAAAGAAGCTTCCTGGGTTGAACGAAGTCTATTCATTATCCTCTTCCTCCTGGTTGGCGTAGATCCCCGCTTCCCAGCGCAAGGCCAGAGCGCTCTTTCTTCGATTCACCCGTGTGGCCTCAAGGACCTGAAGACAAAGGGGAAAAAATTATGCACAGTTCATGGATGTTAATTATGTACATAAACCAACTTCTTCTTTGTTTCTTTCCTCCTTTCCCTTTCTCAACAGCATCTACAGGAGAAGGGAAAAGTATCTGGCACTTCCAGGGGGTAGGAGAGAAACTGTAAAAAAGGGAAGTGGGAGGTCCTGGGTATGCATTTATCTCACAACCAAAATCCATTTGCTATTTGACCCAAAGTTTACAAAATAGAGAGACTTGATTTTCATGAAATGCCCTGCAAGTTTCTTTGAACTTGATTTGGCTCTGCATCAAGTTTTTAAATAAAGCAGTTCTCTACATGCTATAAATCAGTGCTGTCAAATAGACCTTTTAGGGCCGGCCCGGTGGCGCACTCGGTAGAGTGCGGTGCTTGGGAGCACGGCGGCGCTCCCGCCGAGGGTTCGGATCCCGTATAGAGACCGGTCCGCTCACTGGTTGAGCGCGGTGCGGGCGCGACACCGAGGGTTGCGATCCTGTTGCCGGTCACGAAAAAAGACAAAAAGGAAAAAAAAAATAGACCTTTTATGTGATGATAAAAATATTCTGTATGTGCCATCCAATATGGTGGCCACTAGCCATATATGGCTACTGAGCACTCATATTAGGGCTAGTGTGGCTGAGAAACTAAATATCTAGTTTTATTTCATTTTAACTAATATAAATTTAAATAGCCTCATGTGGCTGGTGACTACCATACTGGACAGCACAACTATAGATTGTCTTAGTCTCTTCATAAATAAGCAAAACAGAAAATAATCCCAAACAATTGGATCAGTGTGGTTTCAATCCATCAAGCTTTGTGGATCTACATAAGCTATGATCATGTTTATATCATAAAAGTCTACTTTGGCATAATTCAACTCAAAGAACCATTAAATTAAAAAAAAATAACTTTTCAGGCCAATAAAAAGCAATCTCTGCATTTTGATGCAACTTCTGGGCCATCTATACTAATAAATGAAACTAAAGGTGACAACAATCAAGGACAAGTAGGCTCACCATCTTCGACATATGACCTCCCTCCCTCCTTCCTGTTCACTAGAATAGTCTGTGGACTCCTGAGAGGAGAGGTCAGCCAATCTGCTCCTGCCCTAGTTTGATCAAGATTCCAGATGAATAACATTTAGGTTACCAATATATGAGAAATGATTTTATTTCATGACACTGCAGCAAAAGCAATCCCATGCATGCCAACTAATTACTCTGGCATTAGCTTAGGATGTAGAGTTCTTGATTTTAGAGAAAATCCAGAAGAGCCAACATTGGTTGATTAACCAAACTGCAATAAAGGCTTTGCTTATTCTAAAAATAATCACTTAAGCAAAAGGGACAGTGATGTTGGCAACTCCAGAGAAGCAAAGGGATACAGGTTACAGGCAGACGTGGGAGCCCAAGCACAAGTAGATTCTGGGCAGATTAAAGGTCTGGAGTCCATCTCAACCTGTCATCTGCACCTTTGTCAAATAAATGGACTACCCAGAGCTTCAATGAGTTTTCCTCTGGGAAGTCTTCTCCGTTCCTCCCAGCAGAGAGAACTGGGTCTGACATGTGGGGTGTACTCAGTCATGTTTTCAAAAGGAATGATACATTGTTAAGCACATAAGCCATGTCATAAGTGTCTCATGTGTGAGCATACCATGGTGACTTACTCAATATCTAAGAAGAACAAATTAGGAGGAAAGCATGCCTCCAAATCTGGTAGAATTAAATGGAAGACTTTTCTGGTCACTGTGTGAGAGCATGGTGCTCAGGAATAGTACTGGACTGGCCATGACTTGTAAGTCCTGAGCTCTGCGTCCAGTTTGGTCCCTTGTTGTTCATCCTGTATTTCCCGATCTGTAAAACAGAGACTGCACCTGCTCTATTTCACAGGCTTTCTCAGGAGGCAGTGTGGACTCTCAAGTCCAGATAAGTCTAGCTTTAAATCATAGTAACTGCAAAGCCTTGGAAAAGTCACTTCTCCCTGAACTTCAGTATCTCCATGTAAAGTGGGGATAATAAAAATTAAAGCATAAGGTTGGCCTGAGGAATAAATGAGGCAACATATGGAAAGCATTTAGCATAGTCACCAGTGCACAGTAAGTTCTCGAAGGATAGTTATTTCTTTCATCATGTGAAAGGGATTTATAAACTATGAAGTGGCATGCAAAAATAAGGCCTTCTTATGAGGAACTCTACATTGTGTAGAATGGTCAGCTGTTCACCTTTTGGATTGCTGATACAAACTGAAAGGTTTACAGGAAAGCTAAAAATATCAAAAATAAGTGAATAAAAATTTTTAAAAAGAAAAGCTAAAAATAAAACTAAGAGTATGAAAAAAATGGTCCCCATCCTTTCTGAATGTTCTTTGTCCTGTTATTTAAACCCTATTTTAATTCTCAATCTACTTGAGCAAACTTGGTTTGCTCTGTTCTTTAGGAATCCATGTTATATATAATCCATCTTATAAATATCTATTGGGTTCCTACCAAGTATCAGGCTCAGAGCTTTAATGTTGGGGATAGAATAGTCCCTTTCCTCATGAAGTTTAGTCTCAAAAAGTATAAACGGGCAGAAAAATAATATTTATAATTATGGAAACATTTAGCCTAGATTGGGTTTGAAGATCTACTTGTCAGAGCCCAAATAATTCAATATACTGATAATGAATTCCCTTGTCTTAATTGATTTCCCTAATTTGTATGGCCACTTAACATGATCTTGAATTTCTTTTTTTTTTTGTCCTTTTTTTTTTTTGAGACTGGCCGCACCATGCTCAGCCAGTGAGCGCACCGGCCATCCCTATACAGGATCCGAACCCGCGGCGGGAGCGCTGCTGTGCGCCCGAGTGCGCCACGGGCTCGGCCCCATGATCTTGAATTTCTGATGAAACCTAAAGCCTCTAATAATGGCATAAACAAGAAAACAAACAGGTCATTATTGAAATAGCTAGCTACTTTGCTATAAAGTTGTCTTTGGGATCACAAGGCTTATGACCCAGTACTGTCTCAGAGTGAAGCCATCCTACAACTGGCCTTTGGAAGATTCAAAAGCTAAGCCCTTGGGGAAGGTAGTTGAATGAGCATGTGTTCCGTAATTGGTCCAGACGACTGTGTGTGTATGTCTACAGATCTCTAGCAAATGTAAAGCTCTTATTACTCGTCTTATTGCATATTAATTTTACCTCCTAAAGTTCATTCCTTTCTTTTCTGGGCCAAAAAACCCTTACCTCTGGGACTGTAATAATAGTACACACTTATGTCACAAGTACTATGAAACCATTACTGTTTTAATCTTCAATATTATCCTATGAGATTCATGCTATTATTACTCCCATTTTACGTATGAGAAAACTGAAGCCAGGGAGGTTAAGTAACTCACCCAGCATTACCCAGTTAGTAGGGGGGAAAAGCCAAGATTTGAACCCAGCACTCTCGGTGGAGAGTCAATGCTTGAGGCCACCAGGCTTCATGGCTGCTTGGTGGCTGTAAGGAGTCTGGAGGGAAGAGTATCTGAGAAGAGCAATAAACACTCTCCATGGAAATGGAGAGAGAAAAACAGAAAACAAAAAATAATAGAAAGACCTGATTTAAGGTTTTATTGTTTTCACAAATTAATTCAAATTCAGGTCTGGAGAGTGGAGGGAAAGGAATTCTCTTTTAACAATCATCTGACATTTTCTCTCTCTAATGCTTCGGGAATTCAAGTGAATTGCTTAACTTTGAATAACAATCAACACAGACAATTTTATTTTGGAGATGTGAAACAAAAGACAAGATTTGTTAAATAAAATATTACCCTATTTGTATTAATGTCAATTTATCCCCCATCTTCTCCCAATTAAAGATAGACTGGGCCCAACTCTATCTTCCTTGGAAATATTTGACCAGATTTTCATTGTTCTAAATTATGTTGACTCAAGGGGGATATGGGCTTAGGGCCTAATTCTCAAACTACCACTCCCTAGATGAGAACCACAATTAGGCATTGAGGAAGGTACATGGAATGAAAGTCTCAAACTTCATTTTATATCTTCTGAAATTACTGATAATCACCAGCTCAAATCTATAGTTAAATGTAATTATTTTGCTAAATAGAGAGATTTAAAAAATATATTATGCTATAAGTTGGTGCAACCAATTGGAATAATTTGCAATATCTAGTGAATGTGACAATTTATAAGTCCAATACACAGTTCTACTCCTAGACATATAGAGAGAAATTCTTCCACAGGTACACAAAGAGGTATGTATAATAACACTCACTGAAGCCTTGTTTGTAATGGCAAAAAAACTGGAACCCACCTACATTTCCACCAATAGGAAGTAGAATAAATAGTGACATATTCATTCAATGGCATACTCTACAGCAGTTACAATGAAGGCGACTACAGCCACAAGATTCAACACGGACACGTCTCAAAACAATGCAGACAGAATAAAGTAAGGAGTGGAGGATACTACAATATGATTTACCATGTACAGGAAGTTTTAAAACATGCAAAAATATAAGATTCTGTTTATGCATATATACATATGTAGTGTAAGTATAAAAACATGCATGAAAATGATGCACACCAAGCTTAAGAAACAGTTACCTCTACGGGGGGAGGGGGGAGAGAGAGAGAGAGAGAGAGAGAGAGAGAGAGAGAGAGAGAGAGAAACTGGGAGAAGTAGCAGGAGGGCTCAAATTGTACTTGAAATATTAACTTCTTTTAAAAAGATTAAGCAAATATCATGAAATGATAAGAATGGACAAAACTAGATAGGTGAGTTTTATTATTTTATTACGTTATTTTATTGGGAACTTTGAATGCCAGTTCCCTGCACCAGGAACCTTGTTTCGTTGACTGCTGTATGAAGTAGCAGGAGGGCTCAAATTGTACTTGAAATATTAACTTCTTTTAAAAAGATTAAGCAAATATCATGAAATGATAAGAATGGACAAAACTAGATAGGTGAGTTTTATTATTTTATTACGTTATTTT